TCCATCCAAAATGTATCTTTAAAAAAAAAAAAAACCATTATTTTTGTATTTTAGCTTATCTTATGTATTATATTGTATTAATTTAATTTTAGTTAAGTTTCACTGTACTCACTGCCCTCTTCGGGGCGTTAGCTTTTAAATAAATAAATGTTAAACGATACATTAAGTATATCCAATAGTTACCTTGTTTTTTTTGCGAAACTAAATTCACTGTCCAATATTCATTTACACAATGTACAGTTTTGTCATCATTACCCAAAAAATTTAAAATATCGGACTGAGTAGCATGTCTTGTTTCAACGTTGTAGTATTGATAAACGAATACAAAAGCCTCTTTTACAACCTGAAAAGTTTATTTCACCAATTAAATTGTATTCCATAAAAATGTATTTATACAATTGTAATCTTTATACACTAGAGTACAATATTATGGAGTACACATTAAATAACATATCCTCATTATGGTAGTTATAAAAATTAGTGTAAATTTTGGGTCGGTAACGTTTTTAAACCCTAAATAATACTACGTATATTATATTATATAATTGTAATACTTGTGCGTGTAAGTGAAGATATTTAAAATTATCTTAAAAAAACCCAGTATGGCGGGGTCGGGAAATAGTGGGGTTGGAAAACAGTGGGGTCGTGGCAGAGTGAAGATGAAGATGTCACAGATTGAAATTGAATTTATCCGAGTAAGCCAGGCCAGCAAAGTGGGGACGGACATGTCACAAGTATACAAGAATATATTGCAAAATTAATTTAAAAAAAAAAAACAAATATGATCTACATATAGCTAGATTACCTCAGCTGCTGCTACCATTTCATCAACGAACTTTTTTACTACAAAATTTCGTGCTTTGCAAATACAATACACAACTTCCGTAAACTCCTTCAAATCTATCTGAACTAAAAAACAAAATAAATAAAGTAGATTAAAAGATTAATCTAAAAATAACGTTTTTATGCGTCTTAAAAAGGATAAAATAACCTTCCGGGGGTCTTGATAACCAAATAGGACAGGTGAACTAGAAAAAACGTGGGGCGCATCTTTCTACTTAGATATTAAAACCTAAGCTTTCATGCTAGTGCATTGAGTTGTCTCTCATAATGCTGTCTCTCTAACCGAACGGATCAGAAAGTGATAGTATGCATTTTTATCGGAAATGAAATTTAATGGATTTCCGTGTTACTTGCCTTAAATTTCGTTACAAATTAAAAAGACTTAATTGCTATTCTCTCCAAAGTTTGTTTTATGTAGGTTGCTTCAATCCTTTTGTTAACTACCTACTTGCTTAACATTTAAAGTAATGTGAAGAAAGTTAGAGGTGGAATTTTCAACCTCTTGTGGATTAATAATGCATTGTCATCGAATTGTGAGCTACCCTGAAAGTTTCAGCCGGATAGCTAATCGGGAAGTGCTCGAAATTTGAGTTGCAAGATTCCACCCGGAACGACAAACAAGATTGTGAGTTCATAAAAACGTTATAAATAAAAAATGATTCATGTATTTCCGTTTTGTCAATATAGAAAGCGAATGAACAGCAGTGAAATCTATTCAAATGATGATACATAATAATACATGACGGTCTACTTAACATATTTATTTAAAAAATACATCAAGTATTTTGTGGTTACTTTTGCTTTTTGGTAGATCTGGTCTCGCTACCCAATAATTTTTTATACATTGCAAATCGTCGTGTTTGCCCATAAAAATAAAAAAATCGAACTGTTTGAGATATTTTTTGTGTGTTACAAAACCGCCAGCGAGTTGTTTCAAATCGAAATAGTCATAAGCTAAATTAAAAGCGTTTTCTATAACCTGAAAAGTTGAATACACTGATTAAATTTTATTTCAAAACTAATACCATAGTTGTCTAGTTTATTCCATAAAAACTAATTATAAAGTTTAATTTTGCATGGACTAGAGTACAATATAGAATTACTTAAAAAAAAACCGGTCAGTTATTTTACACATTAAAAATAAACTTTAAGACAAACTTTTTTTCAAAGTTTTAGTTGCCTGATGACGAAAAAAAACATAATTAAAAAAATATTGTTATGGTTTTCGAACTTATTTAAAATGTTTAAACTGTAACAGCAGATAATAATAATATTATGTTATGACGGTTTTGTGTAATACACACAAATAAAATGAATATATATATATTTTTTTTTAAACCTTTGGGCTAAAAAAATTATAACTTCATAGAAACAAATTACTGTTAAGTAATACACTGAACTTTGACCGGTTTGTAATAAACAATCGAGCAAAACACTGATAAAATACTTTTAGTTGCAAAATATTAGTCTAAATATAATATATAAAATATTACTTCTTTATCGGATAGATCCGATAGACAATTATCAACTATGATACAAGACAGTATCAAAATAGTGAATTTGAAGACCATTGTATCTAACAACTATGAACTGAACTTCAACTGAGCGACAAAACGAATAATTGTGAGGTATACTTGTCGTTTCATATAAAAAACTGAAGGAAAAAAAAATGTGAAATATTAAACAAATATACTACATTTGTTTGCTAAAAATCGATCAAACTATGACGTAAGACACTCATTTTCTCGGAAAATATAAATATTTAGAGAATTTTTTTTTCCTAATATTAAAATTATTATTATAATAATAATTATTATTTTATCTTCAACCCTTATATGTAAAACAAGTATCGCATTTGGTTTTTTTGATATGGGAAAGTATGTTTTTAATTTCATAAATCTGTAGACAAAGTTAAAAAAAAAAATATACTAGCGTTTGGATTTCCAAATTTTCATCAAACGGTTCCTTGCTTATTAAGTTGAAAAGATTTGAAATTTTGATTCATATTCAATTTGGATTTTAAATATTTGAAAAACCGGATTTTTACCTACGGTCGGAAACCGTGACAGTTTATACTCGCCAATTGTTCACATATCTTATCAGTAGCAAACATTTTCGACGAAATTCTTTTCTAACCTACCTACCCATTGACGGTATGACAATGATATCATATCTGTGGTGTTCGGGCAAAGGGGGATAAGTGTAAAATTGCAACTTTTGGAAAAATAAATTTGAAACTTTGAAAATTTACTAAGAAAAATGTTATAGTCTATTTGGTATGGGAAAAAAACATACTTATTATTTAACTTATTTTCATACTATATTTCTGTATTTGAAGAAAATTTTCAAATTAGTTTTGTTAACAAATTATAATAAACAACAAAAACAAAATGTTTTCTGAGTTATCCCTTTTTGCACATAAATTTGATTGACATAACTAATATCCCAAATTACATATCACATATCACATAACTTTAAAATAACACAATTTTTTTCGAAATTCAATAACACAACATAATACATATAGCTGTTTCTTTACTATTACCAAAAAATTCATTAAATACAAATTAAACTTTCTTCTTAACTCTTAATAATAAAAAAACAAATTAAAATAAATATTCAATCTTAAATATTAAATATTACATTAAAATAACACAATTTTTTCAAAATATAGTTCCTTTACTATAACAAAATATAAAAAAAAACATTAAATAATAGCTTCATTCAGTCTTCTTCGATTTCTTCATTAGCGAAATCTATTTCATCTCTTTGGGTTTTATCAGTCGATAAGTTGTTATAATAATCATGAAAAATCACAGGAAAAAACTGAAGTAATAGCAATAAGTCCTTTTTTTTGCTTCAGTTATTGGTAGTGATTTTATGTAAATTTGACGAGGAATAAATGAAGCACGAGCTTGTCCTCGTCCTAATAGTCGAATAGATTGAAATGGTTTTAAAATATCTAGGGTATCCTTGTATTGTAAAAGACCAAGATCTGTTTTTGTGTATTGAAGCCATTTTGTCTTTTACTATTTCAATGTTTCCCCATAGTTGTTTTTTTACATTTTCAACCTTCAATGTAGTGTTGAATAATGCAGAATAATCGAAGAAATCATGTTGACACATTTGAATAACTTTAAATGGTTTTTTTTTTTACCTGTCTGACGAACTAACTGTAGCCAATCATGTGAATGATAAATCGAAATGTTCGACATTTTTTATATTTTTTTAATTAAAGCGTGATCACTATCACACTCTATCCTTGTATGACCAGCTAATAAAAATTTAATTTTATTATCATGCCCAAAAAAAGTGCTTGCAACCGGCAACGTGACCTGCATTGTATATTCAGAAACCGGAAACGACCTGTGTCGTTTTGTTAATACATTGGAGTATTGTCAATATTGTGTAAATAAATTACCTAATTGTGACTAAATTTTGTATTGCTCTACAATGTACGACGAAAACTAATAAACAGACTTATGTCAAAGTCAAATAGTTTTGAGACCATGGTGAATAATCCATCATTAGACCCTATAAAATATGATTATATATCTGAAAATATAAATATTTATTTATTTTTTATCAATTTGGATTTTCTAACTTGTATGTGCCTTTTATGCGTGACGCCCTATACATAATACCTGCCTGCTCCCCCTGCTAGAAGTATAAGAAACAAATAATTTTCAAAATAATTATATTTTCCGAGAAAATGAGTGTCTTACATCAGATGGATTGCTCTACATAGAGTTGCGACACGAAAAATCGGTTCAGTGGCTTAGAAGATATCGTAGGTACAGACACAAAAAAAAAAAAAAAACACATCATTGAAAAAACATCACTTTATCAGCTCCGCACCGAATTATAAATCATTTTTCACATTAATTGTTTGTATAGTTAAGTTTTACCGTAAACAACGACACGTTTGTAAAAAAAACTATACATGTATAAGCAACAAAATAATATTCAAATATATTTTTTAGAGAGAGTTCGTCGATTTTATTTTTACTATCTATAAAGTCTATTGGGATTATATCGCCGTACCCCTCAAACAATGAACATGTTATCGTAAGCAGTAATAGGTAAATAATTAGTCAAACAATTTCTATATAGGTATTGTTGTTATAAAATGTAATCAGTAATAGACAATCAGTCGATTAAAACAATGTGCCGACTGCCTTCCACATTACAAAATACTAGTGACGCGTGTGATATTGATGAATTTCGATCCGTCATTAATAAAAGTACTACACAATAATAATTAGCCTTATAATCATGTTTTTATTTTCGGTTGTCACGGTGTTTTTGGAGTTCGCTTTGTTGTATTTGAATCCGACCCAGGCTGGTTTACGGGTCTTAGCCGTGCACACGATGGCGGCAAAAAGTCATTGGAATTTCATGAACGGATTTTTGCATTCGCTGACCGACGCCGGGCATAACGTTACGGTTTTCACCTGGTTTCCCGAAGGCCAACGAGAAAACTATACAGAACATGTTTTTAAGGGACCAAAGCGTTTAGACATGGATTTAGTTGAATTTAAAGAGCAGCTAAAACCTCCCAATAACCTACTCAGACACGTTATACACCGTAACAGAAGAGCATGTGATATTACGTTTTCAAATTCTAAAATAGAAGCCATCATGACTGCGGGCAACACTGAACACTTTGATGTCATCGTCGCCGAAACATTAGTTTCCGATTGCATGTCACAATTGGTTCGTCGTCTCCGCCTACCTTTAATTTACCTCTTTCCATCACCAATGCCGACTTACTTGGAGGCGTCGTTTCTGGGTGAAGATCCAAACCCTGCGTGTGTGTCAAATTTCATGTTGTCATTCGGCTACCCAAAGACATTCCATCAACGGTTGCTCAACTTTCTCACCTACAAATACAGCAGAATTATGTTGTGGTATTTTGAAACAAGAGCCACGAAGTCCAACCCTAGACCGTACGACTATATAGAACCGGTCAAGCCGTCCTTGGTGTTTGCAAACAGCCATTTCATCGTCGAACCGGCCAGACCAATGCCACCCAATTTCATAGAAATCGGCGGCATTCACCTTCCCGAACCAAATACAATACCGGATGTAAGTCATAAATAATCATTAAAAATATATAAAGGTACTTATAAATTATATTTATCTACAAAAAAATATACAAATCGGACGTTGTGAGAAAGGACACAAATCTAAAATCCCTAGTTTTAAGGCCACGACAACCGTTAAAAAAAAAATTACATTTTACTAAATCTGTATAAACATTTTTCACTAATTATTTAATTACTTTTTGATCTAAAATTAGAAAGTTTGAAATCTAATAAAAATAAATACTATAAATCACTATTTTTACCCTTAATTGTTTGTAAAAAATGCTTACTATTTCTCATTCAATTCAAGCACTACAACGATAAGTTAAGTTACATTTATTTTATCACCGAAAATTGTAAATTTCACTTTATGATTCCCAAACGAACAGTACTTGTGTATTTTTACTGTCAATCTATATTAAAAATAAGACAGTTTCGGTTGAATACCCTAATTATATATTTTGTATCTACATATCAGCCACATACATAAAACCCTTAACCATACAAATTTAAATATAAATTCCTTTATTATAATGTTTTTTCCACATATACAATGTTACACATTTTATTCATTTGACTTAACACCTGTCACCCTCCCTCTTCCCCTTGAGCCGAGCATGTGGACAACGCCTGTTTTACAATTATACGCCTTCACTTTTGCGTTATACTTTACAAGTCGATACTACTATAATAGTAATAGCTTTAATACTCTCACAAAATTGATCGATTAAAATATCTCCTTCAGGACATACGAGTGTTCATTGAAAATTCACCAAATGGAGTTATTTACTTCACGTTTGGATCGACAATAAAAATGTCATCATTTCCAGACCACATTAAAACCGCATTTAAACTAGCTCTTGCGCGCCTCCCCCAGAGGATACTGTGGAAATATGAGAGCGAAATGGAAGACAAACCGGACAACGTGATGACGAAAAAGTGGTTCCCTCAACGCGATATTCTCTGTAAGAATCAGTGAGGAGACGTTAAGTAATAATTTATATCTATTTCAAACCTGTAAAGGAATAAACTGATTTTTTCCTAGTGCACCCGAATATCAAGCTGTTTATCGGTCACGGTGGAATATCTGGCGTGTTTGAAGTAGTCGATGCCGGAGTTCCGATGTTAGGGTTTCCACTTCTCTATGATCAACCGAGAAACATTGCCAATCTGGTCGACGCCGGAATGGCCATTTCACTCGACGTGATGACCGTCACCGAAACACAGATATTCGAATCGATTAATAAATTAATCAACGATAAAAAGTAATACCTATAGTCAAATATATAATGCATATGACGCATAATAAGATGCACTATAAAAATGTACAGTTCAAGTCAATTTTTACTGACAATGAGAATGAAGTATTGAACAATGCACATTGTTATAGTCTTAAACTCCTAAAAAATGCATATGTTAGGGGAATGCAGGCAGAAACTAATAAATAATTTGAAACAGTTTATAGGATTTTATAATAAGGTAGGCATAATAAAGTAAGAACTAATAAGTAATAAGTAGTAATTAGGTAATTTTCTTTGATAAAATATAAAGATTAAACTGAAATATGAATACATCTCGTAATTTTATTACTTTTATTCCTGGATTTAATAATTATTTAAGTATATTATTAAGCTTAGTAATTTTTTTTTAATGGTATACCTTTATTCCTTTTATTATTCTTTGTTATATTTTTATAGGTAATATTTCGCTCAATTAAAAACCATTAAAAGTAAATTTTGCAATTCTGATTTTATCCAGTCAACATTTTCAGCAAGTTAATAAAACATACACGGGACTATTTAAATATTTTAAGTTTATAAGTTTTAACACCTAAGAGATGGGCTTATATGGTTGAAAAATATATATTGTATTCGGGCTAACTAATAGCTGTGAAAGAATGAAAAACAATAATTTAAAAAAGTAACATCAACATGGTAAATTTTTCAAGATTTAAACACAACTAAAATATTAAGTATGGATTAAACTATCCTAGTTTAATAATTGTAAATATTTTAATAATTAACATTGTACTCTTAATATTATGAGTATAGGTTAATAATAAGTGAAAAATAACCTTCAAGTGTTTCGAATGAGAAATTTGTTTTTAGACATATTAAAAATTATTATTTATTTTTTTAACTTGTTCTATGTTACTTAAAATTAGGTACTCGTCAAACGCCAAACTAGCTTCCAAGCGTTTCAAGGATCGCCCAATGACACCTGCTAAATCAGCCGCTTACTGGACGGAATACATTGTACGACATAATGGTGCATCACATCTAAAGACAAAAGCATTTGATCTCACGTGGTACGAATACTACCTTCTAGACATACTATCTCTGATAATCGTCACGTGTTCGGTCATTGGCTTTATTCTCTATAAATGTTTAACTGTTATATGCAAACAACTTTTATTCAAGTTAAAGATCAAAACTGAATAATACTTATATATATATTTTTTTTTTGGCTTATAAAAAAGATTTTATGTGTTTCCAGAATGTATGATCTACACCAATATTAATAATTACTCCCAACGATCAAGCTTCATCTAGGGAAAATAAAAGTTATACTACTTATTTGTCCACTTACTATCTAAAGAATATCATACATAATTTTGGTGTTAACTTGACGTTTCAACTACATACAAGTAGTATACAGTTATTAACTGCTATATGAATACTACTTCAGTACTACTTAAATATTTATTTATATATATTTTAATCTATAATATTTTTGTATTCGTATTTTAATTTAAGCACCGAGTTGTACAACTAGGATTACATTTTTTCAACTAATAAAAACGGTAAATTGTATCTTAACTTTATGACTTGTTAATTGCTCGTCTTAGATATTAAAAAAAAAACACAGTATGTGAAAATATTTTCAATACAGGTTGAGAATTTCACATATAGCCACCTAAAATTTGGATACTGTAAAAATATGATTGTCCCATTATTTTTTTTTGTAATCTTCATAAAAAATAAATTTAACACACATTTTTAAACATTTTTTTACAAGTTACTACCCTATTTTAGATCTACCTTAAGTCTAATTTCCAGACTATGATTTCTAAAACATCACCTTGAAAAAACTAAAAAAAAATTCCACCCCTTTAAAAGGGGAATGGTTATATGATATTTGATTGGCTTGTCAGCGCGTTTAACGGTAGTACTATGCCTAAAGAATATTCAACACAAATTTTGAACTGATAAGTGTAAGTCATTAATATAAAGATTTGTCAATCTACACGTTTGTATTATTTTTATTATTTCATATGATAATAACAGTAAACTGGAAATTTAGTATTAAAACATATCTAAATGTAATTTCATCTCAATCGAACCTTTTAATAAAAATCTTGTTCAAGAAAATAGTGAAGTAGAACAATAGACCATTCAAACGGTGTACAGTACTATCAGGCACAGTACAGTCTAGACCAGCACAGTCTAACCCAAGTAAAGTATAAATCAGTACAGAAGAAGTTAGCAAAGTTGAGCCTAAGGAATTATTAAATTTAAATGTGATTTCATTTAATTCATACACTTTGAATATTCAAATATTTTCTGTACTTTTGAACCAGATATAACTCGAATAGCCTTTAGGTATCTAATGGTGGTTCCGCTACATCTACTAACTTCTTATTATGTTGCTTTATAAACGAGCCCCAAGGTTAGAGATAGATACTCTTTATGGAACTCTCTGTAAGGTATACTATTAATTTCATCTAGACCAGTGATTTAAAGGTATTAACAAAATTACATCCAAGAAAACGATTTGATACGAATCTTTGGATATTGGACCACAACACTTTGGTAATTTCTAACTGTGCTGGTGTATACTGTACTTGGTCCACACTGTGCTAGATTCCTACATTTGCTAGATTCACATCGAAGCGTTTGATTTTAATCAAACATATTTTATTCTATTTTTACAAAAACGTTTTTTAATAATCTTGAAAATACATATTATAGTCTTGGTTTGTAATTGTTAGCTCATTGTTCAATTACTTATTGTCATCGGTCATAGCAGCTTAGCCCTTTAGACTTTTTGAAGAGTAAGTTTTTTTTTACCTCCAAAAAACACGTTTTAAGCTGATATTTGGACCACCTAATCTAAATGACTTCTTGTTTAACATCCAATTATACGGTAGACTAACTTCGATTGCAAATCATTCATCATAAACCATCGTGTATTGTTTATTTATAAAATAGTTCCAGTTGAATTATTATAATTTAAACATTTTTGATTGATATTTTAATCAGAAATGTTGATGACTATTTTTTATTTATTAACAAATCTGTAATTATATTATTAAGTAATATTTTTGTAATAAATAATTTTATAAAAAAATTTGCCTGAGCCGCAAAACCAATATCAACAATAATAAATCACTTTTGCCCCCATAAGTATACTACAAATAATATTTATACATAATAGTAATAAGTAATAACAAGGTTTTATGTTAGAAAAAGACAGTACAGCGGAGTCGAGGCATAGCGAAGACGGGAAGGTCGCAGGTCTAAACAATTTTTAGAACTGAAAGTTATAAAATCACTTTTATACAAACGCTGCAATACAAATTTGTGGTTAGAAGGTTCAAATGTTGATTCACTCACGCATAGCAACCTAAAAATTGACTACAGTCAAAATTTAATTTCCCCCTTTTTTGTGATAAAAAAAAAGTTTGACAGATTTTTGAAAAATTGTATATGAAAAATGTTTATCCCTCCTAGGGAAAAAGATTAAGAATTTATGATATTTTTTTGGTTTGTCAATGTTTATAGAAAATTCCATACAATTTCAAATTAATTCTACTATTTAAAAAAAAAAAAAATATGGAGTGCCGTGATTTTAAGTCGAATAATATGTATATTTTTTTTGTTGTATTTTTTTTTTAATTTTGGCCAATATAAAGTACCTTACAGGTACGATTTGTGATCTATAGAGTTACTACACGAAGAAATCGGTTTAGCGGTATAAGAGATATCGTGGGTACAGACACAAAAATACAAAAGCACATCATTACTACATATACAATAACTTCTCAGCTCCGCTTCGAAGCTCCAACTAAACATTAAAAGTAATAAAATTAAAACAGTTCGTATTCCATTTTAATCTTTATATTTAGATTTAAGAAAAAGTATCTACCGTTTAATGTTTTATCGAAGCTACATGCACCTACTACCAAGTGGTACCATAACCATGTACCACTTGACACGTTACTTAATACAGATAAATGTTTAGATTAAATTATTAAGTCAAGTGAAAACGATATGTTACATTGTATATTATGTGGATAATATGCAATTTTTTTTTTTTTTTTCTTTATTTGAGATAAACAATCTATACCTTAGGGGCACAATAGGTTTATATGGTTAGAGTAATTTACAACATGATACGCTTGACGTGAGAAGTCATCCACTAATGACACTCAATAATAATATGCAATTAATAAAAAAAAATACTGAGCAAATTATTACTATAATTAATCAATATTACGAGATACTGTTGATGAACTCCAACGAACGACGACGAATAGTAACCTAATGAAAAAGTTTCACACGTTATGTTACATCGCCAGATATCCAAGTACTAATACATTTCATTACAAAATAAATTATATATAATATTTACTGTAAATATTTTTGTACGGCGATATTTGCTTATGATAACATGTTCAACACTTCTCACCTTGGAAGAAGAATATTATAGCCCTAACATACTTATCGACAAGGAAAACCGTTTTATGAGCTTTTCTAGAGCTAATGGTTACAGTATTATTTTATACAGGGTGATCTATTTGATGTAATTCACTAACATTTTCAGGAAGTACGAATATTTTGTAAATTAACGTTTTTCCTATAATTAGTTATACATTTTACTATATTTTTGAATACGTTGTACATTTTTATCTTCATCCCTTACACGTAAAACAAATATGGATCTGATTTTTTAACATATATTTTTAGTTCTATTGGATGTAAACCTGATTAAATTAAATTTAATTAAATTATCACTATACACATCGGTGTAAATGTATTTTCGTGTTCGATATCCACCTGGTTTAAAAGTGTAAACACAAAAATATGTATGTACTTAACAAAAAATTAATGCTCGTTAATTTGTTTCCCTTATCTTTATGAAGTGTTTTAAGATTACCTATCCTATCATTTTCCCTCCGGGAATAGAGGAGTGTTACGATGCCAAACGTTTTATCGCGAGTACCTATTTTTTATAATATTATATATTAATTTTCTGGTTATGCAACGAAACAGTCATTGACAATGTGATCAATTTATTTCTGTTAAGCTTTATAGAACAACCTGCCGTCAGACCACGGAACATAACCAACGCGCGCGGTAAAGATTAGTTCGATCCGTTTAAAAATTAAAACGCAACAATAATGTTCATAGTGTCGGTTGTCTCGGTGTTTGTGGCGATAGTTTCGCTATTTTTACATCCGACCGAGGCAGGCTTACGGGTTTTGGCCGTGCACACGATAGCGGCAAAAAGTCATTGGTATTTCGTGGACAGATTTTTGCAATCGCTGACCGACGCCGGTCATAACGTTACGGTTTTCACTTGGTTTCCAGAAGGCGAACGACGAAACTACACGGAAATCGTTTTGAAAGGACCGATGCGTTTGAACCTGGACTTGGTCGAAAATAAAGAACGGCTCAGACCTCCGAACAATCTGATCAACCACGTGGTACGCCTCAACAGATTAGAATGTGACATCATCTATGGAAATTCCAAAATCAAAACGATAATGGCGGCGGGCAATACCGACGAATTCGATGTCGTCGTCACCGAGTCGTTAGCTTCGGCCTGTATGTCACACTTGGTTCGCCGTCTCCGTGTACCTCTGATTTATCTCTTTCCGTCGCCAATACCGACTTACTTAGAGTCATCGTTTCTGGGCCAAGAGCCCAACCCGGCGTACGTGTCGAACATGATGTCGTCCGTTGGCTACCCAAAGTCATTCCGACAACGATTGCTAAATTTTCTCACCTACAAATACAGTAAATTCCTCTTGTGGTATACCGAAACGAGAGCGATGAAGTCCAACCCCAAACCGTACGACTATATAGAACCGGTCGTACCGTCCTTGGTTTTTGCAAACAGTCATTTCATTGTCGAGCCGGCCAGACCAATGCCACCCAATTTCATAGAAATCGGCGGCATTCACCTTCCCAAACCAAATACAATACCGGATGTAAGTCATAAATAATCATTAAAAATATAGTTTTCTGGACACAACACCCGTTATTAAAAAAATAATTATTTACAACACTTAACTGCAGGGGTTTTTTTTCAATATATTTGAAAAGTCGTATCGTATACATTAGCTTTATGAGTTATTGTAATAAAGGTTTAAAAAAAAATATCAAGTTAAATAAAAGTTTCTTGTACAAAATACACAAGCATACGTACACCAAATTTCATTAGATTAGAAACTAAAATTGATATGTTGAAAAACTTGTGACCTTTGTCTTGGTTTAATTAACTAGTCTAAAACATTTCTTGCGTATAACCTTGTGTCCTATAGCACGTGAATAAAGTTAAGATTTTTGAAAGAAAGTACCTACACATGTCATAAAACTTGTATTCGTTAATATTATAATAATAAAATAATAATAGAACTTAAACGCGTATAAAAATATTGCTTTCCTAAAGTGAAGTGCAAAAAGTTACAATTTGTCTATAAGTGTTCGTTATTTTTGGGTAGGCTCTTAAGCTTAAATGCAATAAAAAAACATAATATGACATATTATAAACCTTTAAAATGCATTTTTCATAGGGATCATTTAAAAAGCGCATTCCAGATAACTTGTGATTTCGCTTTAATAAAATAATATAGATATAGATAAAAAAAGTTCAAGTAGATTTTGTTTGAAATAGTGTATCAATTTATTAATAATTTAAAATTCTTATTTAAGCGTACTCGTATTATTTGCATTTTATTACTATTCCCATTGCAATTACATTAATAAACTTTTTTTGTAGTAGCTTGTAAATTTAATATTGTTTCATTATCAGTAATATATATGTTTTATCTTAATTGTATAATTCATTAATACCCAGTGCCTATAAGTTTATGGCTGCAATTGCTGTTATCAGTACTATAAATATAAGACAATAATTTTCAGTTTGAGAACGCCATTATTTTTATTAAACCACTTATGTGCGTAGATAATAAAAAAAAAACATACATATCTATAAAATATATGTACAGGTGTTACACATACGAGTAAATATGACAAATTATTTAACTTTTGTTAAAGTGAATATTTTGAAATTAAAATAAGTTAAAATTACTCATTTGCGCTATAAAAAACACATCAAATTTTATTGATCTTAAATGTTTTACTTTTTGAAGTTATTTTTATAAATTTATTAAATATCTAAGTACTATCCAAAACTGGTAGTCGACCAATTAACATTTTCAGCAAATTTACTTGTGGCTATGTTAAATTTAAACATAAAAGGTAACCAAAAATATGTAAAAGTTATTTAAAAAAGTATAACAACCTGTCTCAGAAAACAAGTCACGGGTATATGAGGTGGAGGTTATAGTAACGCCTCTTCCACTATTTTACGCCTTTACCACTGTACCATACACGGTTAGGTTAGGTTAGGTTACCTAACCCTATTATTTTTTTATTATATTCATATGATTAATCGATTAAAATATTTATATCGCTACAGGACATTCGAGAGTTTATTGAAAATTCGCCCAATGGAGTTATTTACTTCACGTTTGGATCGACAATAAAAATGTCATCATTTCCAGACCGCATTAAAACCGCATTTAAACTAGCTCTTGCGCACCTCCCCCAGAGGATACTGTGGAAATATGAGAGCGAAATGGAAGACAAACCGGACAACGTGATGACGAAAAAGTGGTTCCCTCAACGCGATATTCTCTGTAAGAATCAATGAGGAGACGTTAAGTAATAATTTTTATCTATTTCAAACCTGTAAAAGAATAAACTAATTTTTTCCTAGTGCACCCGAATATCAAGCTGTTTATCGGTCACGGTGGAATATCTGGCGTGTTTGAAGCTGTCGATGCCGGAGTTCCGATGTTAGGGTTTCCACTTGTCTACGATCAACCGAGAAACATTGCCAATCTGGTCGACGCCGGAATGGCCATTGCACTCGACGTGATGACCGTCACCGAATCTCAGATATTCGAATCGATTAATGAATTAATCAACGATAAAAAGTAAGGGCTGCGGTAAAAAATATTACGTTATAAGGTAAGAATATTGAAATGTGGAACGATGCACCAGAACAATTTACAATAAAAGTCAATTTTTACTGACAATGAGAATGAAGTGTAAAATAATAACTCGAAATATTATACTGCGTGGAAAAATTAAGAATACTAAATAATTTATTCTAAACTTTTGTCCGTATTAAGTAAAACGCATCAAGTGGTACTTAATTAAGTAGGCGTAAGTAGCTTCGGTAAAACATGAAATGCTAAACTCTTTTTCTTAAATTAAAATACCAAGATTAAAACTGAATATGAACTGTTTTTAATTTAATAACATTTTGTGTCAGAAATGTTGATGATCATTTTTCATTTATTAATAAATTATATTATTAAGTATTATTTTTGTAATAAAGAATTTTATAAAAAATCAGTATCAACTATAATGAATCACTTTTGCACCCATAACATATACTACAAATAATATTTATACATAAATGTCGGGATATAGTGAGGACGTGAAGGCCACAGCTCTAAAGAAATTTTAGAAATTGATTACAGGTAAAATTATATTTTCCCCTTTTTGTGGCTTCACCTACAATATTTTTCAAGTCAAAAAGAGTCAAAGAAACAGTCAATTTCCACGTCAAGGTATGAAAATATTTTGATTTTGTTGTTATCTATTATATAATATGGGCAACTATGACATTACACTTTTATAGACAGATGATCAATGTTAATCGTATACACCCTAATACTAAAAATGAATTTTAAAGCTCATAATTGACATAAGGTACTATGCTTTTTACGATAATAACTGTATTTTTATCTGTGATCACTGGACCACCCTCACACAATTACTATTTCTAGTTTCTCTCTGTGCTGATTTGTACTGTGCGTGGTTTGGACTATACTGGTTTGAACCTACTGTCTACAGATTTGTATCGAAGCGTTTGTAAATAAGTGATATTATAATTTTCAGTTCTAAAAATGTCCTTAGACCTGTGACCTTCCCGTCCTCACTATGTCCCAACAATTGTGTATAAATATGGGTGCAAAAGTGATTCATTATTGTTGATATTGGTTTTGCGGTTCAGGCTAATTTTTTTTCATAAAATTCTTTAATACAAAAATAAAACTTAATAATATAATTTCATATTTGTGAACAAATGAAAAATAATCATCAATATTTTTGATTAAAACTATACTAAAATATTACTCAAAAAGATTTAAATTATAATAATTTAATTGAAACTATTTTATAATTAAACAATACACGACGGTTTATGTTGAGTGGTTTGCAATCGAAGTTAGTCCACAATGGAAATGGGAGTTAAATAAGAAGTCAGTTAGATTAGGTGGTGTCAATATCAGTTTAAAACCGGCTCCTCTACAAAACATAAAACTATTTCATATTCTTCAAATCTTTTAAGAATAAAAAAATATGTGTTTAAGCATTAAGAAACTTGATTTAAATTTATTTGTTTTTTGTTATTTACAATTAGGTACACGTATAATGCTAAACTAGCTTCCAAGCGTTTCAAGGATCGCCCAATGTCGCCTGCTAAATCAGCCGCTTACTGGACGGAATACGTTGTACGACATAATGGTGCACAACATCTAAAGACTAAAGCGTTTGATCTCACGTGGTACGAATACTACCTTCTAGACATACTATCTCTGATACTCGTCACGATTTCATTAATTGGCTTTATTATTTATAAATGTTTAAAAGTTATATACAAACAATTTTTATTCAAGTTTAAGTTCAAAATTGAGTAAAGTTTGCGTCTGGCTTCTTTGTGCTTTGTATAATAGATTAATTATTTATCGAGAATTAGTATAACTACACTAATATTAAAAATATTTTGTAAACCATGATCAAAAATACTAATATAATTTTTCGGTTCAAATTTCACCTGTCTTTGAAGTATAAATCATATTTAATAAGACAACTGACGGAAATGAAATAGTTCTAACCTATGGCCAGTGAGATGTAGGCAAGCAATTGACATATTCAAAACCCTTCCAATTTTAGGACAGGAAACTAATATAGTTTGTTTATTCAAGTTGGTTCATTTTGTATTGAAACGAAAATCACGAAAATTGTTTTTTTTGTCAAACTGTATTGTATTAAAATGTACAAAGTCTTAAAAAATGTATATATTTAATATTAAAAAATAGTAAACATAAACATTGGGTTTAAGATAGATAGTTTATTTTTTTTATGTATAAAGTGTGTATTTTTTTAGTATTATATAAATGTTATCCTAAGCAAATAATATCTGCTTATTATAACTATACATTTAAGAATACCTTTGAATTATTATACATGAATGATCTCGTTATGAATGAAATCGGTATTTGAGTATAGTTCTAGTCATTATTTTTAAATAATCAATAGCAATTTACTTTTTCTATTAAGATAAGTTTTGCTTATAATATATTATGATCATCTAGTGCTAGTAATCCTTTGAGGTGAAAATAACTTACTCTATGAAAATTCCAAAGGGACTATAAGCTGCTATGACAATAAGTAATAAATTGAACAATAAGCTAACAATTATTACAAACCAAGACTATAGATTTTTATGTAGTATACCCGACAAGAAGATCTATAAAGTGTATCTATCTCAAAAGGTTAGAGCTTGTTTATAAAGCAACATAATAAGAAGTTAGTAGATGCAGTGGAGCCACCTTTAGATACATACACGGGTTATATCTGGTTCAGAAATATATAGAATATTTGAATATTGAAAGCGTTTGATTTTTACGAAATCACATTCAGATTTAATAATTCCTTTGACTCAGCTTTGCTAACCTCTTCTGTATTGATTTAAAATTTACTTGGTTTAGACTGTGCTGTGCTTGGTTTAACTGTACACCGTTCAATGGTCTATACTTCTACTTCACTATTTTCCTGAACAAGATTTTTGTTTAAACGTTTGATTGGGATGAAATTACTTTCAGATTTCTTTCAATACTAAATTACATAATACAAATATTGTTATATTTATATGAAGTAATAAAAGTTACATTACAAAAATTAAACAGGTATTGTTATACTAATAAATCATTATTGTCCCATTCGTAACAATTTGGAAACCAATAAAATTAATATTTAAAATTTAATTTAATTTAACATACTATTTTAGTGAATTAGTGTAACATAATAAAAAAAATATGTAAAATTTGCTTAGGCCAGGAGATGATAATAGGGAAAAACTTGATCAGCTCACAAAAGGCTTACAAAAGACTTAAAATTGTGTAGTATTATAGTTTAAAAGAGGATTTCGCTAAATGTAGATCTTAAAATGGTACTATAAAAAGCTAGACCATTTTTTTATATCCCACTATAGTACCACAATACAATAATATAAATGCTAGAACTTCCACTGTTTGATTTAAAATAAATAAATAATATTATATTATTATACAAACACGCAGATTGTCAGATCATTGTATTAATGACTTACACCATCAGTTCAAAATTTGTGTTGAATATTCTTTAGGCATAGTACTACCGTTAAACGCGCTGACAAGCCAATCAAATATCATAAAACCTTACCCCTTTAAAGTGGTGGATTTTTTCTTTAGACCTTCTAAGGCGATACTGAAGGTAGATCTAGAATATAATCATAACATATACAATTTTTTTATAAAAAGTGTAATCAAATTTTTTTATTATGAAAATACAAAAAAAAGAATAGAAAAATAACACTATTTTACCGTAGCCAAATTCTAGGTGAAATAATCACCAGTCATCCGGTGCTGAAAATATGTTTTACAATGTCTAAGACCAGGCATTAACAAGTCATAAAATTAAGATACAATTTACCAATTCTATGAGTTGAAATAATCTTATCCTACTAGTTATACAACTCAGTATTGAATTATAATACGAATAGTAAAATAATATTTTTTAGGTATTAGGTCAATTCAAAAACAGAAATATATATATACAAGTAATATTCATATAGACTAACTGTATAAGTATGTATTTAAAAAAAAAAAAGTCAAGTTAACACCAAAATTATATAAGATATTCTTTCGATAGTAAGTAGAAAAATAAAAAAATATAACTTTTATTTTCCCTCGAAGAAGTTTGATCGTTGGGAGTAATTATTATTGGTGTAGACGAAACACATTAAATCTTTTTTATTACCAAAAAGAACAATTAATACAAATATTATTCAGTTTTGATCTTTAACTTGAATACAAATTGTTTGCATATAACAGTTAAACATTTATAGAGAATATAGCCAATGACCGAAAACGTGACGAGTATCAGAGATAGTATATCCAGAAGGCAGTATTCGTACCACGTGAGATCAAACGCTTTTGTCTTAAGATGTGGTGCACCATTATGTCGTACAATGTATTCCGTCCAGTAAGCAGCTGATTTAGCAGGTGACATTGGGCGGTCCTTGAAACGCTTGGAGGCTAGTTTGGCGTTAGACGAATACCTAATTGAAGTAACATAGCACAAGTTAAACAAAATAATAATAATTTTCATTATGTCTAAAAATAAATTTCCTATTCGAATCATTTAAAGGTTTTTTTCACTTATTAATAAACCTGTACTCACAATATTACGAGTACAATGTTAATTTTTTAAATATTTACAATCATTTAAATAGGACAGTTTAAATATAATATTTAAACTAATATTTGAGTTGTGTTTAAATCTTTAAACATTCACATATCTAGTCGATATTACATTTTTGAATTATTCTTTTTTATATGTTCTTACAGTTATTAGTTAGCCCGAATTTAATATATAGCTTTCAACCATATAAGCCGTAGGTGTTAAAACTTATGAACTTAAAATATTTAAATGGTAACGCATATTTTATTATAGGTACGCATATATTATTTTATTCACTTGCTGAAAATGTTGGCTGGTTAAAAACAGTGTTAGCATAATTATTTTTAAAGTTTAAAACTTAGGGCAAGTAGAAATTTCGGTGGTGGATAGTGATGCACCCAAATAACTTAGCTGCCCCACCACATATTTCGTCCCGTTCTAAATTTTTATTTTAATTACTTTTAAAGTAAATTACCAAACCTAGTTATCGTTCAGTTAAAATTTTCATCAAATTATTCTTTATTAAACAAAATAATAAACTATGTACAATACCTTTACACAATACACATAGGAAATGGGGATATATTTTTAAAAAATAAACAAAAATTGAGCGAAATATTACTTTAAAAAAAAACTAAGAATAATTTTTAAAATTCTGATACCTTCTAAGATGTTGACTGGTTTATAATTAGTGAATCTTGTTCTAATAACATTACAAAAATTACTAAGTAAAATAATTTAAAAAACCAGGAATAAAAGTAATAAGTGTATTCATTTTAGTTCAATCTTTATGTTTTTTTTAATAAAAATTACTTAGATTTTATTACCTTAAGGTACCTAATTGCACTAACCATGTACATATTGACCCATAAACATAGGATATGTTTTTTTTTCTAAAATGTTTTATAAAAATAAAAAAAAAACGACAATAAATGAGTTTAAATTCGTAACATTATATCTTTAAAAAATAATAAATTGCTTGGACTTATTAATTAGTTTCTGCCTGTATTCACCTAACATATGCATTTTTCAAGAGTTTAAGACTATAACAATGTGTATCTATTCTATACTTCATTCTCATTGTCAATAAAAATTGACTTGAACTGTACATTTTTATAGTGCATCATATTATGCGTCATGTGCATTTTATTTTTGACTGTAGGTCTTACTTTTTATCGTTGATTAATGTATTAATCGATTCGAATATCTGAGATTCGGTGACGGTCATCACGTCGAGTGAAATGGCCATTCCGGCGTCGACCAGATTGGCAATGTTTCTCGGTTGATCGTAGACAAGTGGAAACCCTAACATCGGAACTCCGGCATCGACTGCTTCAAACACGCCAGATATTCCACCGTGACCGATAAACAGCTTGATATTCGGGTGCACTAGGAAAAAATCAGTTTATTCCTTTACAGGTTTGAAATGGATAGAAATTATTACTTAACGTCTCCTCACTGATTCTTACAGTGAATATCGCGTTGAGGGAACCAATTTTTCGTCATCACGTTGTCCGGTTTGTCTTCCATTTCGCTCTCATATTTCCACAGTATCCTCTGGGGGAGGCGCGCAAGAGCTAGTTTAAATGCGGTTTTAATGTGGTCTGGAAATGATGACATTTTTATCGTCGATCCAAACGTGAAGTAAATAACTCCATTTGGTGAATTTTCAATGAACTCTCGTATGTCCTGAAGTCGATATTTTAATCGATTAATTTTATGAAAATATTAAAGCCATTACTATTATAGTATTATCGACTTGTAAAGTATAGCGCAAAAGTGAAGGCGTAGAATTATAAAAGAGGCGTTGTCCATATGCTCGGCTCAATGGGGAGAGGGAGGATGACATAGGTGTTAGGTCAATTGAAAAAAAACGAGTACCATTGTATATGTGTAAAAAGCTTTAGCATCGTATTGTATACATATAATAACGAAATTAATATTTAAAATACTATAGTTAAGAATTTTAAATATTTTTTTTTTATTGTATAAGTGGCTGTTATGTTAATAAAAAATGTTTTAGTACTTGAATTGAATTAGAAATAGTAAGCAATTGTTACAAACAATCAAGGGTAAAAGTAGTGATTTATAGTATTAATTTATGTATTTGTATCATGTTTCTCACTAACACCGTTCGATTTACGTGATTTATAATTACATTATTTTTATTATATTTTAAACTTTCTAACTTTATATCATAAGTAATTAAATAATTAGTAAAAAATGTTTATACAGATTTAGTAAAATATAATTTTTTTTTAACGGTTGTCGTGGCCATAAAACTAGGGATTTTAGATTTGTGCCCTTTCTCACAACGTCCGATTTGTATATTTTTTTGTAGATAAATATAATTTATCCTATATATATTTTTAATGATTATTTATGACTTACATTCGGTATTGCTTTTGGTTCGGGGAGGTGAATGCCGCCGATTTCTATGAAATTCGGTGGCATGGGTCTGGCCGGTTCGACGATGAAATGAGTGTTTGCAAACACCAAGGACGGTACGACCGGTTCTACATAGTCGTACGGTTTGGGGTTGGACTTAACGGCCCTGGTTTCAAAATACCAAAACATAATTTTACTGTAGTTGTAGGTGAGAAAATTGAGCAACCGTTGTTGGAATGACTTTGGGTAGCCAAAATACAACATAAAATTCGACACGTAAGCGGGGTTAGATTCTTGTCCCAGCAGCGACGACTCTAAGAAAGTTATTATTGGCGAAGGAAAGAGGTAAATTAGAGGTAGGCGGAGACGATGGACCAAATGCGACATACAGTCTGAAGCTACTGTTTCGGTGACGACGACATCGAACTCGTCGGTATTGCTCGCAGCCATGATGGCTTTCATGTTGGAATTTGAAAATACAACATCGCATTGTTCTCTGTTAACGTTTACCATTGTGTCGATTAGATTGTTCGGAGGTCTTAGTAACTCTATAAATTCAAGCAAATCCTTTTCCAAATGTCTCGATCCCGTAAAAATGATTTCTGTGTAGTTTCGTCGTTCGCTTTCTGGAAACCAAGTGAAAACCGTGACGTTATGACCGGCGTCGGTCAGCGAATGCAAAAATCCTCTCATGAAATTCCAATGACTTTTGGCAGGTATCGTATTCACGGCTAAGACCCGTAAGCCTGCCCCGGTTGAACGTGAAAACAGCGAAGCCGACGCTAAAAAGAACGAGGTAATCGACACTAACAGCATGATGGTTAGGGACAAATTATTATTGTATTTTATACTTTTTTAAAAAACAAATGGAACCGATGAACATCACGCGCTACTGTTAGAACTCCATAGTAAGGCGTAAGGTGAGTGCATAGAGTTTTACACATTATGCCACATCGCCAGATATTCAACTACTAATTTTTTTTCGTGACAAGATTAATAATATATAGTAATTGACATACATATTATTGTGCAGAGATGTTTACTGACGGTAACATGTTAGGGTTATGTAACTTACATGTGATAAAAATAAAATAAAACACTTCACCTAACGGAGAAAGAATAAAATACCAACACACTTGTAGATAAGATAAACAGTTTAACGAGTTTTATTAAAACTAATGGAGAACATATTTATTCATTATTATTATAATAATTATCATTGTCATTGTTATCATTAATATTCTCATAATTATCATTGCCGTTAAAATCGATTAATGTATCATAATTTTCAACAGAATATATTATTAAATCTATCATATATATATATATTTATATATATATATATATAGATTTATAACATATTCTGTAATTTTAGTCATCAGTTTTAAAAAAATACAATATATAAAACACAGTATCAGCATATAAACATATAATATAAAATATTTTATTTATTGCCAGTAGGCAGTGTCACTGTTGAACGAAGTTTTAGTCGCCTTTAAGCTGCTTAAAACAGACCTTTGCTCTACTATGTGTGAAGATAGGCTATCAAATTTAGCTATACTAAGTATAGAAAGAATCATAGCTGAAGATATTGATTTCAAGAAAGTTACATATTGATACATTTTCGCTACCTAATGAAAAACCGAAGAAAATCTTTATAAATTGAAAAATTACTAATTTCAGTTTATTATACTTTATAATTAATTTAAATAGGTTTTATTATCAAAAGTCGAAACTGGCAGCGTTCTAGTTAAGCTTTAATTTTAATAATTAAAGTGAGCAAGTTGTATATCTTTAAAAAGAAAAACGAATAAAAAAGTTAAAAGTTATGTATAGTAGTTAGTGATAGTAACTATTATTGGTAGTGGATAACATAGAGGCCCCTCAAAATTGTATGCTGTCCCACAGTCCTAAAGTCCTAAAGTCCTAAAAAAGTTTTAATTATTTTCTGGGGGTGGGGGGCGTTATAAATTGTTTAAATAATTTGCTTACATGTTTGACCATCTTAATGATATCTTAGTGTTTATAGCGCAAACTAGTAATCATAACTTAAAAATATTCACTACGACAAAAGTTGTATCATATTTTGTCGTATCTATGTGAAACACTTGTGTATATATATATACAGGTTTAATTAGCAATTTAATTTTTTTTTTTCATAGAGTTATTTTATAATGTGATCTGGTTATTTAGTCTTGAGTGGCAGGTTGGATTTAAACACCAGGCGGAAAAGATACAATCTAATATTTAATTTTGTCCTTTTTTCTGTGAGGTAAGGTCCCCAAGTTAGACGTTTGTCTTGCGTAAAACCAAGATATTTTTTCTTATTTTGAGTGTTGATAATTGTATTGTTGAGTATTGCACTAATCCAGTTTAAGCTTAAGGGGAATGAGATGAATGCAAGCAATCCATACATAATGGCTAAGTAATGGAAAATAAATATGTTCGGTTAATTAAAAATATATTTGTAAACACTGCAAATCACTTTAATATTTTTCTGCTATCCTGATTTATACTTTGCTTGGTTTTGGCTTACTTTTGATTGGTTTGAACATACTAACCACTGATTCGTATCGAAGCATTTATTCGAAACCTTTCCGTCTGTTCCATGCACAGACCCCTCTATGCTAAAAGTGATAAATATTGGCCTAGTGATACAAAATAAAATGTATCATTACCAAATAAATATATATTTTAAACTCTGCATCAATGTTATATAACTTTTGTGTAATCCTTTGGAATCTTTTGTCTATAAATCATCAACAAGCCGTATAACTGTAATATAATAACATAAACTATAGAAATCTCCTCTGTATAACCTGAAATCATTTATAAAATGTACGAATAATAAAATATTTATTTAATGAATTTATTACACGCGAAAGCAATCAGTATTTAAAATACACTTCATATTATCAGTTTATTAACATTTATCATTGACATAATATTGTAAAAGATGTTATGAGTTATTTTACAACTTAAGATATGAAATTAATTAAAATTTACAAGCCTAGTTATTCTATTTTAAAACACTTAAAACATCCTGTTCGGTGTGTAGTATTTTAGTTCACCAGACACTGAAACAGTCAAACACTGTAACAACTCACCTCACCATTATGATTTTACCGTCGATTGTGTCGGCGTTTTTGGCGTTCGCTTCGCTGTTTTTACATCCAACAGAGGCAGGCTTACGGGTCTTGGCCGTACATACGATAGCGGCAAAAAGTCATTGGAATTTCATGAATGGATATTTGCATTCGCTGACCGACGCCGGTCATAACGTCACGGTTTTCACTTGGTTTCCAGACGGCGAACGAGAAAACTATACGGAAAACGTTTTTAAGGGATCAATGTTCATGGCTTTGGATTTGGTGGAATATCTAGAGCTTCTAAATCCTATAAACAATCAAATGAACTTCGCAGTACACCACAACAGACAATTGTGTGATATTATTTATTCTAATTCCAAAATAAAAACGCTCATGACTGCAGGTAATACCGATGAGTTCGATGTCATCGTCAGCGAAACGTATGCTTCGCACTGTATGTCACACTTGTTTCGCCGTCTCCGTTTGCCTCTGATTTATCTCTTCCCGTCACCGTTACCGACTTACTTGGAGTCGTCGTGTTTGGGCCAAGAGTCCAACCCGGCGTACGTGTCGAGTTTGATTTCGTCTTTCAGCTACCCAAAGTCGTTCCAACAACGTTTGCTCAATTTCCTCATCTACAAATCCAGTAAATTCCTCTTGTGGTACTTTGAAACCAGAGCCATCAAGTCCAACCCCAAACCGTACGACTATACAGAACCGGTCGTACCGTCCTTGGTGTTTGCAAACAGTCATGTCATCGTCGAACCGGCCAGACCCATGCCACCCAATTTCATAGAAATCGGCGGCATTCACCTTCCCGAACCAAATGCTATACCGAATGTAAGTTTTCAATAATCATTAAAAAATACACAAATTACAAAAATCAGACCATGTTGATGAGAAAGGATGCAAGTCTAAAATCCTATTTTTTGGTTTATTAACAACTTGAAAATATCTCAGTTTTATTGAATTTTTATACAATGTGATCTCAATTTTTCATAATTTTTTTTTTGTTTTCACCCCCCTTTCAAAATTGAAACTCTGATAACTGCAAAACTAGTTATGGGCCAGCCAAAATTTTAAATACATTATTCTTTATTTGTTACGTTGATGGAATGTGTGCGTTACTATTTTGATTTCAAAAGTTGCTATCAGAAAAATTAAGTTAAAAGAGAGCGTAAAAGCAGAAAGCACTGTGACCAATTAAGAACACTGTATTTAAAACATTATATAATAAAAACACTATTATTTAAACACATTTATGAGATGTTGATTGGTTCATAAACAAATGATCACCCTGTATATACTTATTTATATATATATATATATATATATATATACAGGGTAATTTAGTTATAAGAGTTTAAAATTTAAGATGGAATGGGAAGTGCAATTGGGAAGTGCGCACAAATTAAAATAATACTAAACTCCACTTCCCCTCCCAATCAAACTTGAAATTTCAATAACTTCAAAATTAATTACCCGAAACTGGTTTTCGACCAGTCAACATTTTTAGTACATTATTCTCAACTTAAAAAGTTAATAAAGTATGTACGTTACTATTTAAGTTTCAAAAGTTACTATCAAAATAACTAAGTTAGAAGGGGGTAAACTAGAAAAAGATTGAGAAAAGTTGAGATGACATTGTATAAAAACAATATGAAAAAAAAATGTTAAACCCTATGGGATATTGAGTGGCTCATGATAAAAAAAATCACCCTGTATACAGTTGTAAAAGTGTCTGGTAAAAGAAAAAATGTCATTCCCCGTTTAGATGACCCACAAAATATATTAGTAGGTTTTTTTAATTACGTATACCTGACCTAACCTAACTTGATCAACTTTTAACACACTTGATTCTAAATCCCGACATTTAAAAGCTTATACAAATTTTTTCATGTGTGATTATTACTATAATTTAATTTTGACAAGTAGTTTAATCGATAAAACCCTCGGAATAATAAAACACAAAAAAAAAACAAATTTTTTCTATAAATATCGAATTGATTTTATTATTTCAGATCATATTAACCTTATTATTTATTGCCTTTGTTTCAAGATTTCAAGAGTTTTTCCGACTAAATAAATTGTCAAAACTCAGTTATAATTTTAATCTATCTTGAAGAGCTTTCAAACGCCGCGTGTTACAATTAAGTGTCTTAAAAATTTATAAAGTTATTCGTAAATAAAAAAAACCCAGCATCATATTTTGGAAAATTGATTTATATATGTATAGAATTCTCAACGGAAAATTATTTTATTTTAATTACACTGCTTAACAGTAATCATATTTGATTTAGTATTTTTTATCATTTACCCATTATCTACTTCTTCTCCAGCTTTTACAGTCCATTTAGGACCTTCGCTGCCTCGACCACGCCTCTCCACCTATCTCTGTCTTCGCTATCTTCAATCCTTATTTCTTCTGAAATTTCCGTGAGATCCGTTTTCACCCTGTCCGCCCATCTCTGTCTTGGTCGACCCTTGGGTCTTTTACCCATTATCGACATATTATATAATATTTGATATGTTACAAACTTCACTTAACACCTATCATCTCATTGAGTCGAATATGGGCGAGGTCAGTTGTATGCATTTACCACAGCTCCTAGCCTTACACGACGAAATTGTTATAATTCGTGTTGCTATCGTGAAGTTAATCGATTACAGTATTTACTTTAGGACATACGAGAGTTCATTGAAAATTCACCAAATGGAGTTATTTACTTCACGTTTGGATCGACAATAAAAATGTCATCATTTCCAGACCACATTAAAACCGCATTTAAAGTAGCTCTTGCGCGCCTCCCCCAAAGGATACTGTGGAAATATGAGAACGAAATGGAAGACAAACCGGACAACGTGATGACGAGAAATTGGTTCCCTCAACGTGATATTCTCAGTAAGAATCAATGAGGAGACGTTATGTAATAATTTATATCCATTTCGAACATGTGAAAGTATAAACTGATTTTTTCCTAGTGCACCCGAATATCAAGCTGTTTATCGGTCACGGTGGAATATCTGGCGTGTTTGAAGCAGTCGATGCCGGAGTTCCGATGTTAGGGTTTCCACTTTTCTACGATCAACCGAGAAACATTGCCAATCTGGTCGACGCCGGAATGGCCATTTCACTCGACGTGATGACCGTCACCGAAACACAGATATTCGAATCGGCCAATAAATTAATTAACGACAACAAGTAAGAACCAGAATAAATAGTACTACGTTACAAAATAAAAAATGTTAAAGTATAGAACGGTACATACGGAAATTTACCGGGGAAAAAACTTATTACCGACACTGAGAACTGATTAATGAGTTAAATCAAAACACATTGTTTTTTTATTGACTTATTCAATTTCGAATAGTCTGAAAACTTTGCCTGGTCGATAACCAGTTTTAGAAGTTTACATTTATAGGTATTAAAGTTTCAAATTTTCGATGAGAATAATGTGGTATGTGGTAGAGTACTGTATTTTTATCAGCGCGCATTACTCTACCACACACCACCGCCCGTTTTTAAATATAAACGTTGCTATTTAAATTTTAAAAGTTAATAAAGGTCTAGAAATACTGTAAAAGATAAACGTTTTAATAATGTCCACTATCGTAATGTAACATAAACGAAATTGACATAAAAAATAAAAAATGACAATTTTTTTAGTATATAATTTATATACTATGTTCAATAATAAACTTTTTGATTTTTTTTAATTTGTTCTTTTGTTACTCACAATTAGGTACTCGTATAATGCTAAACTAGCTTCCAAGCGTTTCAAGGATCGCCCAATGTCACCTGCTAAATCAGCCGCTTACTGGACGGAATACGTTGTACGACATAATGGTGCACAACATCTAAAGACTAAAGCGTTTGATCTCACGTGGTACGAATACTACCTTCTAGACATACTATCTCTGGTACTCGTCACACTTTCAGTCATTGGCTTTATTCTCTATAAATGTTTAAATGTTATATGCAAAATTGTTTTTTTCAAGTTGAAGACCAAAACTGAGTAATGATTGTATAATTTGTTATTTTTCGGTGAATATAAAATGTTTGTTTTCCAGAATTTTTGCTCTACATCAATATTAATTGCTCCCAATGATTATACCTTCTTGTAGAGAAAGTGGTAATTACATTCTCTTCTTTTTTCACTTACTATCTAATTAAGATCTCACCCAATTTCTACGGTAACTTCACGTTTTTTAAATGGTATTCACTGCTATACGAATAGATTTGCTCACAGTTATGTTAGCCTATCCCTCACCCTCTAACTCTTACTCGTGTTGGTTTTTATGCAGTCTACCGCCCCAAAATTGTTTTCATATTACACAATTTTTTTTAAAGGAACACTAATGTTTTGCATATTTTTAAACTGTTATTCATTTAAAGATGCTTGATTATTTAAATTATCCAATATTAGATAATCTGTTTCGTGCCAATTTTAATTTTTTAGTTGTAGCTCTGATTTTGTATAAAATATTTCATTATTCTGTTATTATGTTCAAATTAAGATATATTTTAATAATAATTAAAAGTCATGAATGAAAATAGTTGAAACTTGAGTGGGGTATTATATTTACAATATTAACATGACTTGAGGTTACTCCCACATGGATTTCTTGACTAGTTTTTAAAAGAACACAAAGAAAACTAGCCTCGAGTTTTGTAGCTTATTCGATGATACAACGTTCAGTATTCAATCTTAGTTAATTCGAGTAACAATACATATGAAACCGTTATGTAAATTGAAATATCATATGAATTATGATGGAAAAATACCCCTGTGTAAAAGAGCTGACGAAATCAGTTTTTCTGATAATTCCTGGTAAAATCCAAATGGTACATAACCTCAAATTATTTATTGTTCCAAGAGCAATTTCACAAAAAAATCCGCCAAGAGGGAATTCGTTTTTTATATGCAATACATTTACTTGTATTTGGCTTTTTTTTCAAAAATATCACATTTATACTCGATTACAAATAACCACCAACTCTTTGATTAAGTATTAATATTTTTATAACACATAATCATTTTTTTTACACAATCAGTAAAGTTAAAATTTAAAATTTAACCGTAAATGTTTTATCGTCAGTTTTGTCGACAAATCTTTTTTTTTTTTCATTAGCCAATTACATTATTTCAAAGTGAGTTTATTCACTTTTATTTATAGCAATTTCTGTAGAGTGTAGACCTGTGACCTCTCCGTCGCGTCATTGCTTTGATTCCGTTATGCCTATATTCTACTGTACTAGGCCTCTCGGATAAAATCACTTTCAAACTACGCTTTGATGATTCTATTTGTAATTTTATCAGTCATTTTAAAAATGACACAAGTCATAAATTTAAAATTTTACACTAGCCACAAGAAAATTCATAAATAGTTTTTGCAGTGATTCTAATTTCTTGTACTCAACATTTGTATTAAATATGAGTCTGACAAATTTAGTTTTCACACAAAATACGTAACTAAGTATAGAATTATTAAATTTGACGAAAAGATATTTTTGAAAAATCGGTGACCTAAGTCGTTCATGAAATAACCGATTCAATTTAATACTTTTTAACTTTGCTGGCTTACACTGTGCATGGTTTGGATTGTACTGGCTTGAAAATACTGACTACCGATTTGCATTGAAGCGTTTTTTTCGAAAGTGATTTTATCCGTCCCCACAATTAAAATATCCTCGTTATTTTTGTTTTAAGACAGAATAAACAACTTGAACAAACAAACTATGTTAGTTTCCTGTCCTAAAATCGGAAGGGTTTTGAATATGACAACTGCTTACCTACATTTCCCGCGTCATAGGTTAGAACTATTTAATTTATGTCAGTTGTCTTATTGAATATGCTGTATACTTCAAGGACAAATGAAATTCGAACCCAAAAATGATTTTAGTATTTTTGATCATGGTTTACAAAATATTTTTATATCGGTGTACTTGTACAAAATATCAATAAACAATTAATCTATTATATAAAGCACAAAGAAGCCAAATACAAACATTACTCGGTTTTGGTCTTCAACTTGAAAAAAACAATTTTGAATACAACATGTAAACATTTATATATAATAAAACCAATGACTGAAATTGTGACGAGTACCAGAGATAGTATGTCTAGAAGGTAGTATTCGTACCACGTGAGATCAAACGCTTTTGTCTTTAGATGTTGTGCACCATTATGTCGTACAACGTATTCCGTCCAGTAAGCGGCTGATCTAGCAGGTGTTATTGGGCGATCCTTGAAACGCTTTGAAGCTAGTTTGGCGTTAGACGAGTACCTAATTTTGAGTAACAAAAAAACAATTTATAATAATAAGTTTCATAATGCCTAATTTAAAGAGTATTAAAAGTTGTATATTATTTAAGGGAACACGGGGTAAAACTGATACTTGGACAGCCTAAAATAACCGTTTTCTTAATAATCTTATGTTGAAATAGCTTTGGTTGCAAATTTATGAGCTAAAATAATTAAATTAAAATGTGTTTATTATACTTCAATTTAATCTTCATATTTTAATAAAATAGAGTACATACTAATTATGATTTTATCGGCCTACCTACCTAACTATATAACCACTATACAGGGTGATTCTTTTATCATGGGCCACTCAATATGTCACTGGATTAATAAGTAATTTTTATATTCCTAGTATTTTTATTTAACGGAATCATATATTTCCATAAACTATTATGTTCCTATTCCCCACCCAATCTATTTTTTTTAAAAGCCACTTTTGAGACTAAAATGGTAACATAAGTATTTTTTTAACTTTTCGATTTAAGCATTTTTTATTAAAAATTTTGACCGATTCATAACCAGATTCACATAATTATTTTTGAAGTTATAAGAGTTTAAAAGTTAAAACGGTAGGAGAAGTTCGGTTAGGAAGTGCGCGCAGATAAAAATAATATTACACTCCACATTTCCTCTTGCCCTAAATTTAAAACTTCAGATAATTTCAAAAATGGATATCCAAATCTGGTTATTGACCCGTCAAAATGTTTAATAAAATATTCTTAATTAAAAAGGAAAAATATATATAAGTTAATATTTAAGTTTTAAGTTGCTAATAAAAAAACTAGTTTGGGAAGGGTTCGAAACATAATAACTTATGGAAAATTGAGATCACATTATATCAAAACACTATGAAAAAAAAAATCAATTATTAATTAAACAAAGTAGGATATTGAGTGACCAATGATAAAAAATCACCCTCTATAACTATTACCCTATAGAAAATCAGTTTTTTCTAAAATTCTATAAAAAAAAAATAGAAAAGATAATATGTATAATATTGTTTATGCATATTGTGGCTAACAAGTTACTTAATACAAACATAAGTTTAGATTATATAATTTTCTGACCCTAAAATATACAAAAATTTACTGATTGGGTTATTACTTTTTTCTACATACCTACTCATTGTCGGTAAATATGGTTTTTTGTTAATTTGTTCTATTTTCCCTTCGTGCATCGTTCCATACATCAATATTATTAATTTATAACGTAATATTTTGACATTTACATGTCTTTGCTCCGGCACATATCCAAAAAAAACGTTACCACAGGGATATGGGGTTGGGGGTGGAAGATAGGGGGTGGGAAATAGGGGTAGGAATTTAGGGAGTAGAGGACAGGAAAAAATATAGGAGATAAGAGATAAGAGATATGTTGTACGTTCAACGTTCAAATTAGAACTAAATAATAAATTCAAAACAGTTTAAGGGCCCAAATTCTCTATGAATTGTTTTAAGCCAAATATTAAACACTACAATATTAGCCAGAAACTCTATGTTTTAATTAATATACTAGCTTGTTACTGCTTCCCAATATATATCATTATTTATAATTCCACCACTACTCTAAATTTATCTCGGTACTTCAACGAGATATGTAAATGCTCTTTCGTGGTTGCAGACTCGGCTGAAAAACGTTTTTGTTTTACTTTAGTTCTTACTTTTTATCATTGATAATTCTATTAATCGATTCGAATATCTCAGATTCGGTGACGGTCATCACGTCGAGTGAAATGGCCATTCCGGCGTCGACCAGATTGGCAACGTTTCTCGGTTGATCGTAGAAAAGTGGAAACCCTAACATCGGAACTCCGGCATCGACTGCTTCAAACACACCAGATATTCCCCCGTGACCGATAAACAGCTTGATATTCGGGTGCACTAGGAAAAAATCAGTTTATTCTTTTACAGGAATTAACATTAATGTATTACTTAACGTCTCCTCATTGATTCTTACAGAGAATATCGCGTTGAGGGAACCACTTTTTCGTCATCACGTTGTCCGGTTTGTCTTCCATTTCGCTCTCATATTTCCACAGTATTCTCTGAGGGAGGCGCGCAAGAGCTACTTTAAATGCGGTTTTAATGTGGTCTGGAAATGATGACATCTTTACTGTTGATCCAAACGTGAAGTAAATAACTCCATTTGGTGAATTTTCAATAAACTCTCGTATGTCCTGAAGTAAATATTGTAAAAAATTAGTTTTATGGAAGTAATTTAAAGCTAATCATAAGCAACCCAAGACCTAGCATTAACGAGATGTCTATCACTTCTTAAACTCGTGTATGACATTAATTAAGTAGTTTATGTAAAAATATTAGCTTCGAATACCATTTTTTTTTTTTGTTTCTTAGTGGTGTTGTCCGAAAACTCATATTTTAGACTTTTCTTGCTAACATCGTTTGTTATTAGTGATTGTGTAAGACTCACATTTCTGATCAAATCTTATGGATATTTATTAATGAATTTGCTTAAGAATCCTTTTTTTTTTTAACCGCTGATGTGGAATGAAATCTAGTGATATTAGACTCGTACCTTTTCTCATTCACATCGTCCGATTAGTGTATTTCTCGTCATTTTAGTTGTTTATTTATGACTTACATTTGGTATTTCATTGGGTTCAGGAAGATGAATGCCGCCGATTTCTTTGAAATTGGGTGGCAGGGGTCTGGCCGGTTCGACGATGAAATGGCTGTTTGCAAACACCAAGGACGGCTTGACCGGTTCAATATAGTCGTACGGTCTGGGGTTGGACTTCACGGCTCTCGTTTCAAAATACCACAAAATAATTTTAATGTATTTGTAGGTGAGAAAGTTTAGCAAACGTTGTTGAAACGTCTTTGGGTAGCTGAATGACAAGACTAAATTTGACACATACGCAGGGTTTGGATCTTCACCAAGAAACGACGCCTCCAAGTAAGTCGGTATTGGTAAAGGAAAGAGGTAAATTAAAGGTAGGCGGAGACGACGAACCAAATGTGACATGCAGTCTGAAACTGCGGTTTCGGTGACGATGACATCGAACTCGTCGGTATTTTCCGCGTTCATGATGGCTTCTATTTTAGGATTTGAAAATATAATATCACATACTTGTCTGTTACGGCGTATAACGTGTCTGAGTAAATTATTTGGAGGTTTTATCTGTTCTTTAAATTTAACTAAGTCCAAGTTCACAAACTCTGGTCCCTTTAAAACGATTTCTGAGTAGTTTTCTCGTTTGCCTTCGGGAAACCAGGTGAAAACCGTAACGTTATGACCGACGTCGGTTAGCGAATGCAAAAATCCGTTCATGAAATTCCAATGACTTTTTGCCGCTATCGTATGCACGGCTAACACCCGTAAACCTGCCTCGGTCGGATGTAAATACAACAAAGCGAACTCCAAAAACACCGAGACAACCGCAAGTAAAAACATGATTATAAAGCAAATTGTTATTGTGTTGTACTTATACTAATAACGGATCGAAATTCATCAATATCACAAGCGACTTTAATATTTTGTAATACAGAAGGCAGTCGGATTTTAATAAAGTTTATGAATACCGTCAACTCATTGTTTTAATCGACAGATTGTCTATTACTCATTACATTTCATAACAACATAATTCATGTATAATACCTATATAGAAATTGTTTGTTTAATTACTTAACTATTATTGCTTAGTGCTTACGATAACATGCTAATTGTCTGATGGGAACGGAGATATTATAATCCTAATACACTTCATAGATAAAAGAAATAAAAACAACGGACTCTTTTTGAATAGGTGTTGTAATGGACATACTTAGCCGTTCCTTACCACTCGCCATAAAAAGATGCGTTATTAGAACTTTACTCCGATTAGCGTGTAAGCCATTTTAGGTAGGGGAGACAACAGACACATGCGACAATAAGCTAGGGGCACCGATGACTAGTTAGTTGACATACTATCATCTTCGAATCGCGACCAAATTATTCTCAAGCCATTACTTATTATTTCTTGTTACTTAACTATTTTATATTTCTTTTAACTTTACCCGTACTCGTGTGTCCGTTCAACTCTGCCATTATCTAGACTAACTACAAAGAACGCTACACATACATAGGTTTATTTATTTAATAAACTTGTTTTGTTTTTGTTGCACACTTGATAGTTAAGCTCTTTAGAGGTTCAATCGCCTGTTAAGCTCCTAATAAACTCCTCAGGCAATATAGCAAAGGAGACTTTAGTACCATGTCAGCCAATACGATTCCAAAAACAGATTAAACTGTTTAGCCTATTAGAATTGCCAACAATCAAATTGTAAGCAAAACTAATACTATAAGATACTGTTCCTATATTCCCCGCTGTGTAAAATGTGGAGAAAACCATGTCGAGGGTGGTCAATTTTAAAATTGGTTAACCATCTGTCAAACAAATTAACAAAGATTGTATTATTTAAACACTTAATTAAAATATATTCACGTTGCTACTTAATTTTAAAAGACGATAAAGTTCTAGAGAGAAAAATGAAAAATATAAAAATTCGATTTTCCTATACTTGTAGGTGCATAATTTATTTACTGTATTTTTTTTAATACTTAGAAAATATTTACCTACATTCCTTGTACGTAAAAGAAGTATGTCAAACACTAACATTTTTTTTAATTGGGAACATATGTTTTGAATTCCATAATTATGTAGACAACAATTTTTAAAAAAATGTTAGTGTTTGACATTTGAATGAAGAAATAAAATAATTTAACATCCAAACAAACCCTTAACCACAAAAATAATACTCCTTAGTTTATACGTACTACGACAACATTGTTACAACCGCAAGTGTTGCTCAAATTCTAGAATTTTCATCAATCTCATTTGTTATGGCATTGTACAGATTTGAATTAAAGATCAATATTTCGTTTGGTTTTTACAACAGTAGCACATCAGTTTCCCATTAAATAAAAATATTGACCCCAATCGATAACACCACTACCGTCACAATGTTTGAATAGGTAGATAAGATCAGCTAGTCCATCATTATCTCAAAAATCGTTTATTGTATCTGGTTATTGGTGTTCTGGTTTAGCCGGAAAATGCGAACATGAATATGAATTTGATGGGCTACTTGAGTTTGGAAAATCTATGACATATAAAGGGCACAGGGGAAAAACGGTAGTAGTCACAATGTGAATTTTTTTTTTTCAGATAGTTTTTTTCAATTTCTACTATTAATTTTTGTTATTTAAATCAATGATTGTTTAAAAAAATACATTTTCTATTATAATACCATTTAATGGGATTTTTTTTGTTCTTGTTTAAGAGGAAGAGGAAATCACGGACTTTGTTTTTGCTATACTCTAAAATTTTCATAATGTGACTACTACCGTTTTTCGCCTGTGCCCTTCATATGATAATTATAAGAGAAAATGTAATATCTATGCAAAGTCATAGCACCCGAACAAGTTGATAAGAATTTAAAATTTAAACCCTAAAATGATTTAAAATTTGTTATGCAAATACAATGGAACTAAAAACTTATGTTCCCATTTAAAAAAAAACAGATCTATACTTATTTTTCGTATAAGGGATGAAGATAACATTTTTCTAAGTATTGTGAAATATGTACCTACAGGTATAAGAAAATAATAATTTACAAAATATTCATATTATCCGAGGAAATGTATGTATTACAACAGACGGATCATCCTGTAGATCAGAAATTGTACCTGAAAGTATAATCATTATTTTTTTAACGGGCCTCGGTCACTACTCCTCCTCCACCCATTGAGTTTTTAACTAAATTATTGCCATGTATTATTATAACGAATTATATTGATAAAAATCTCAATTTTTTGTATACATCCTTAGATTAAATATAGCCACATTAGATCCATTGTCTAATTTTCAGATCTTAATTTAAAAAAATTACATCTAAAACATAATACAGAAAATGTATACCTACACATGCGCGGATGGTAAAATTAGTTTTATGACATACACTTGGGAGCAATAAGAGTTTATAGTAGAGCTTATATTATCAGTTAATTACATTTTATCATTGACTTTTTTCTATACTTGTAGGTATATAGTTTTCTATATTTTTCAATACTTAGAAAATGTATACCTACATTCCTTAAACGTAAAAGAAGTATGGACTTCGATTTTTCAATTGAAAACATGTTTTTAATTCCATAATTGTGTCCAATTAACAAGATATTATGTATGTAAACATTATAATATTTTATTTTATGTTAAGTTTACCATTACAATAAAACTACATAATTATTAAAATTCTAATTGAAATTAAAGTGGTTCATTGAAAACGTTGAAAACTTAATATTTGTTTGGACTAGGTTTAGTACTGTTCTAAAATTGTATTAGACATAAAATTAAAATTAAGAAAAGTTTTTTTTCCATATTTTTCATTTTTGTATTTAAATTATTTTTGGAAAAAATATTTGTTTGTTATAAGTAGATACTTAATTATAGTTAAATAATTGATGTATATTGTTCTTAAATATAAGTTTTTTGTTATTTTTAATTTAGAAATCAATGTTAGAATTAAATAATTTTATTTAAAAAATGTAGGTATCTCAATTATTGAAGAATTATTAAAATATTTCTAAACACTTACATCATCACTAATATTTTTATTATAATTGTTTGCTGGCCAACAAACCAATTAATAAGGGTAAATATTATGTCGGCATTACAATTTTTTTTTTTAATTTTTTATTTCCTGGTAAAAAGTCTTTGGGCAAAACAATATCTTTAACAAACTCGTGCTATAGTTCATTATATAAACATCTCATATTTACATTAAATACAGGTATGAATCATTGAATAATCTTAATAGGGCAAACGTTACTATGTTATAAAACAATTTGTGATCCTACACGTATTTTATTTGACCCATTTATTTAAAAGCTTGGGTGTCTTGGGAAATCGTTGAAAACCGATACCAATACTTCCTAGTCCTACTAACACATGCCTCCTCAGCACAAGTTGGCATTTACATCATGTAATTATTGTCATAAGGACGTTGAATTATTTATATTATATATTTTGTTCTCTTTGTATTTGGTATTTTAGGATTTAGATAGCTGCCCTGGCCAGCGGTCTGTAGCGTTTTTTCATGCGAGTAACCTTGTATTTGTCAAATTAATATTATTAATCAAGTTTACCGTCAATCATACCGTTACCATATTGTGATTTGCTAGACTGATACATTCATCATTGTTATTCTTGTCAGACACAGGGTGGTTAACAGCTAGCTTTACCTTATCTAGTCAACAGTGTTGTTCATATTTTCGACTTGTATACAGCAACTAGCGAGTACCTACAAAATAACTGACAGATAGGTAATATATTTAATTTATAACAGATAGTAATTAGGGTGAGTCTGCCGTTGATACAGTCAGATTTACCGCATCAAAATGTGTACTATTACATTCAATACTGAACTGGTTTTCATATATTAAAGTTCTATCAATCGATAAACGCAACCGATAAAATGATTTGTATTTATAAAGAAAAAACCAACGAAAGAGCGGCGACTAGTCGTCCGTTTACCTCTGTAAATAGTGGTGCAGTTAAAGTTTGTGCATGTGTTTGTATTAGTTTATCAGTACGAAGTGTTTAAAATCAGAAAACATTTTTAAAAAATTAGTTTTTAACATCTCTATAAAATATAAAATTTAATTATCTTTATATTGTGAGCACAACATTTCATATGTGGGGGTAAACAAAATGTATCATCTTTATTCTGATGTTCTGAACTACTATTAAATATCTGACCAATATCAACTGTTGTAATATTGTCTTCAAAATCAGAATCCTCGGAGTCTAAAATGTCTTCATTTAAGTCACCTATACCCATAGTAGTTGACTGAGATGGTAGTAAGCTTGTTGAGAAAGTTCTGAAAGCTTTGCCGAAATTGCTTGCATTATCTGTCACTGTATGTGTGATTTTTGAATAATGAATATTATACTCTTGTATGATTGTTGTCATTGTTTCTGCAATGTTCAAGTAATTGTGACTTCCTTTTATTCTTCTGTAGCCCAAAACAAATGAACTACGTTCATATGTTTCAGCATCGATAAAGTGGCAAGTCATCCCTGAAAAACGATAATATAATACAAGAATTAGGTAAAATTTTCTACTTATAATTGTCATACTGTTTACTATTTTTAAATTGAATACAAGTATAAATTTAAAAATATATATTAACTGTCTTTATCGTATTCTATGTAACGATAGGTAAATTGATATAATATTAATTATAAATAATAAACTATTATAATACTATACAAAAATCAGTGTTGTATAGAATAATTTTTATAACATGTTATAAATATTTTTAATATAGTTGAACTGAGAATCCTTAGTGAAAAAATGAGCATTTAAGATAATAAGTTGTAATATCATGTACCAAAAATATTACCCAAATTTCTAATTACTAAATTGGCTTTTTGACAAAAACAATTGTTTTGGAATATAAAAGTGTTATTTTAGAAAACTACATACAGTTTTTATATTGTAATTTACTTGTAATAATTTTACCGAAGGCATCAAAAGCTATTCAAAATCAAGGATTCAAAACTGTCCTCATTGTCCTAAAACTAGAAAGAATGGAGGTTGAAATGGTAGATAGTAACATAGTCGGAAAACTTGAGGCTTAAAATTAACTGATTTTGAACTTAAATAGAATAAAAAACATTTAAAAATTGTGTGATATCTTTTGATATGAAATAAGACTTCTGAAACGAAAAATGTATATCGTTCTAAAAGACATAATTTAACTTTAAAATGTTTTAAAAGTCCAAAGTCAGCTAAGCTGTCAGATTATAATTTTATAAATTATTTCAATTGTCATTCGTCAAAACGTTTTCAGTCAATGTTCAATATAATACTTTTGACCAATAGATAAATATCAAATGAAGCATTTTTTTATAATATCAATTGTTTTTTTTTTTTTAACTTTATATTGAGAAATGTTTATACACTGTAGGTACTATAAATTATAAAAATGCATTCTGTTGTAATACTATTTAATTTTGAAAATATGTACTTTGACATTTATTTTAGCTATATAATAGTTGTTATTGTTAAAAAAAATTAGAACAACAAAAATCGCCTACATAGACATATTAGGCATTGGAATTTTTAGATTCTAGTTTATTATGGATAAAAATAAATGTATTCTGTTAAGTTATACGTGAAACTTTATACTTATATAATAATAATATTTATTTAGCTTGATATAAATACTACATAATTTTTAAAAGTTGGTTTTTGAACATTTCTTTTAATTACAGAATTTTAGAACTGGTATACAGGGTGTCCTACGAAGATTATTTATTTATTGTTATATAAGCTTGGGGATTTGAGATTTTTAAATTCAGTTTTTCTTATAAATTATTGGAAAATAAAGAATACTAATTTTTACATAATATAATAATTACAAATGATATTATTTTTTTTTCTTGAAAAGTTAAATTTATAAATTCAGACTGATTCTTCAATGTTGTCTTTGCTCCGCACACACCCTTTTATACTTTTTACAAATTTAATTCCTTTTTAACATGCACATTAAACATATTTTTTTTCAATTAAAATCATAAGTTAACTTTTTTTTGTTGAACTTTGAAAAATGTAATTAATAATAAAATAAACAAATGGGTAAAGTGTAAATCGTGTATTTTATAAAAAATATTTTTTAAACATTTTTTTTTTTGGAAAACCATTGTAGTTTTCCTTTTTTTAAACATTTTAACTTAAGTAATTGTATAGTATTATAAATCTAACAAATGTTTAACTTTATTAGTTAAGTCAAAGGCGCTATTAAATTTGAAACTTAAACGGTAACGTGTATACGTATTTAATTAGGAATAATTTCCTATTAAATTCTGATTGGCTGACAACGAGGTCGAGTGCGGTCATGTAGTGCTACACTCCACTTCGCCTTCCCCGTGTACACTATAATAGGCGGCAGATTTTTTTTAAATGTAAGTTTAGTACGGTCATTGATACGGAGTTAAAAAAAAAAAATTAATACGATATTATAATATAATATAATATTGCAGCTGCCAGCCAAGGCCTCAACACTCGTAGAGAGCGACGACTCACTAAGTCAGTATGTTTTGTCACAACAGTATTGTCAGTGGACCTTGTGTGTGCGGTCGGTTCTATTTCACACAGCTGAATAACCGTAAGTTTTTAGCAAAATTATTTTTAATCATTTAAATTGTAAACTTAGTTTTTTTATTTTCTATGCAATCGTAGTAAGCGTCGAAAGAGTCTCGTCAAGAATTCTCCCATTTCATTCAAGTCAAGTCGACAATATTCTTACTGGTAAGAGCATAAATGTCCAACACTTATTGTGCCATATAAATTACCGGCAGTTCGATAAAAAAAAAACCTTGAAAATATATACTACTTCACCACAAGCTACACCAGCACTCCGAAAATTGACTTCGGTCCTCTTTATATGTCCTTACTTACCATGACCTTGGAATTTACTCTTTTTGACATAATATATTGCTTAAAAGTGGTAATATTTGTACTTTATCGTTGAGAAAAATCTATTTCACTTTTTTTTTTGTTTAGTTAGCAATGTTTCATCACAAATAGCCATAATAATTATTAGACTTTAATCGAAATTTTACCGGCCATATTTGCCTATCGCACAGACTTTTTGACGGTTTATATATCGGTCGAGTCATATATATTTTAATACGGTAAAATATAAAATAATATACAAACACACTTACAAGTACAGGGTTATTTACTAACTTACTATGAACCAGTCAATATTTCATAAGCTACCATTAGCCTTTTTAAAATGATTAATTTTTGTACTTTTATAACTGTTATTAGTTGGCCCTAATTTTACTAGACTTGTTTTTTTTTTTTAAACGGGAACATATGTTTTTAATTACATAAATATGTTCACAAAAATTTTAAATAAATGTTAGAGTTTTAATTTTTTTAATTTTCATAAACCTCTTTGTTTGCTGTAAATATTGGAATATAATATCAATACTCGTTCGGTTTTTAACGACACTAACACAACAGTTTCCCCTATTAAATAATACTATTGACCTCTGTGCAACAGCACTGTCATCGCCACCGTGTTTGTAAAGTTGTCTATCATTTTATTAAAAACATTTCATTGTGTTGGGTTATCGGTATTTTCGCCTATCGGACAATGTTAAAATACATATAAATTTTACGGACCACTTTTTGGAAACCCGAAGACTTGTAATAATAATAATTGCACAAGGAAATGTAATATGTTTGCAAATTCATAGCAAACGAACAGATTGATGGAAATTGGAAAATTAGAACGCCAACATTTTTTTAATAAACGTTGTCTAAATAATAACGGAATTAAAAAAAATATATTCTCGTTTACAACAAACGAGATCCGTACTTGTTTCACGGATAAGCGATGAAAGTAAACATTTTCTAAGTATTGAAAAATAGAGTAAATTATGTACCTATAAGTACAGGAAAAAAATATTTATATTGTGTCTTACATCAGATAGATCATACAGTAACATATTGTACAACAATAAATTAAAAAAAAAAATAATAATTGATCAATTGATAAATGTTAGTCCAATTATTAATGTCTTTTTCGACTTTGAATAACTGTTTTTGGAGTTATTGTAGTTTCAAGTTTAGGGTAGGAGGTAAGGTGCAGTGTAGTAATATTTTTAGCTGCTCATACTTCCCAACCACACTTACTTCCCCTCGCGTCCTAACTTTTAAACTCTTATAACTTAAAAAACAATGAAGCGGTTCTCCGGTTGTTGCCGTAGGACCTTACTCCTTTTGTTCTATGAGTAACTCTACTCGGTTTTTCAGAACAATATATTTACATTATTCTTTGATAACATAAAATATAATTTACAAAGTTTTTTACATTTGGTATAAGGGTTCGAGAATCGTATTGGGGCTTGCACATGTGGGGTTGGTGGGTCGCCTAATTCGCCCGCAGTCTGCACATCTATGCAACCCTCACTATTAGAGCGACTCAACTAAGCCCTCTAGCCCAGCCTAACGCCCGGGGATCCGCTTACGGCATTGGTAGCGGCGGGAGGTGTGCACGCACGATTATATGCGGCCGAGCGTCGTTCTATTAAGCGCCGTCCTAAATTATAAAAAAGTGGTACTTAATGTTTTTGGGGTCAAAGAGTTCAAAATTTATATCAATTTTTAAATTCACGTAAGATGCAAATAAACATAATATTTTGTTTTTAAATTGAAATTTAACTTTCGTAAACTTCTTCATATGTTTCATAACTTAAATTTAATAATGATTTTACGTCATTGTCCAATTCTTTTTTTTTTGGTATTTTGCAAATTGAGGAAATATTTGAATCTGAAGTGACAAGTAATAAGTGTAGAACGTCTTCATTTTGAGCTACTCTACTAATTTTTCGCAAATGGTGTTCGCTATAATTTTTATAGTCTTTATTTCGAGCTTCCTGTGCTTCTTCGGAAAGTTGTCTTTTAAAAATGTTCATATTACATTAGTTAATTATAATAAAGTTTATAATGGCTTTTACGCCAAAGTCTTTGTAAAACCAAAGTAAACTTTAAAATTGAATGGTTGACTAACTCAATGTGTATTGCGGTTCCCATTTTACATTTTCATACAGTGCCCTCAAAATTTCAAATAAATAGTTTCTCGATTTTAAAAAATGGGGATTTAGTGGACCTCTATTTTTTAATAGCTGATAAAAACCATTATAATACCGAGAATCAGTGTTATTCCAATCCAAATTATCGTCAATTTCAGAATCATTTATTCAAACACTGCCGCTAGAGCTACCTACAAAACAAATTATTAAAAATACAGATGCAAATGGATGCAAACCAAATTTTGGGATCTGGTACTGAAGAACAAGTACTATATTGTATGTATATTGAATAACGGTTATTATGGGTTATTTTTTAGTTATACGCTTTGAAATATCAATATTAACATTTTTTTACTACTTTTTTAACTTTGTTTTAATAGTAAAATAATAAATATTTATAATATTAATATGAAACACTTACCTAAGTTTTCGAATTCGTTACTTATATGAAACTAATTAAAAAAAAAAAAAAAGTTTACCTGTGTATAATATACTAAAAAAATGTAATGTACAATCGGTGAACGATTCGACGTTTGTGAGCGCGTTATTATGTTTTACTTATCGCTTGCGCCGCTTGGTAATGTTAATATTATCTGAAATTCTATTTTTTTGTTATATAGAACTTATATATAATGGGTTAATAACATAAAATACCTATTTTTATGAATTTTAATAATTGACTTTATTCCACCTAAATTAGCTTTTAGACCACTGTGGCGGCGCCGTTCCACGGTGGTCTAAAATCAAAAAAAGGCGGCCAAAAATATTTGTACGATTTAATATATGGAAAAAATAGTAGTTCTTATATTTCGTTTATTAAAAAGATATTTAAACATTCGAAAGGCATTAAAAAAAAAAAAAAAAAAATTAATTTTCGCTTTGGTCTGTTTCACTGTAGCTGTCGTCATTTTCATGTTATACAGATTATAATATGTTTCGCACGATCAAATGGATGCATTGTTACTTTGATTATCATACAAAAATCAATTATCCAATATACAAATTGAAATTTGTAACAGTTGCAATATTTAAGTCATAAATATTTACCAACATATTTATGTAATTAAAAACACTTAAAAATATTATAAAAGGTTTGTTTAAATTAATTAATTTAATTTTTTTACTTTTTAGTCCTATTAAAGGTATTTAATAATTGCTGAATAGATTTCTAAATTAATTTTAGAAGATTTCAAAAAAACATGGAATTATAGGGAAATGACCCCCACATTTGACCCTGTGTAGGGTGACCTGGATGTCCGAGTCACAATATGATTTTCATGATATTGTATTGTCATCGAAGATGAGTGTCTGTGCTAAGTTTCAGCCCTATACACCATCGGGAAGTGGGTTAAATTAATTTTGCAAGATTTCAAAAATACCTATACAAACGTACTTACGTGTTAGCGAGCTAAAGAAAAGAATGTAAAAATATCCATTTCGTTTTTTTTTTTATGAAAACTAGAATTTCAGGAACTAATTGGATTAGTTATAACCTCCACTCATTTTGATCCGCTTTGATCACTGACGACAAGTAATGTTTTAAATACAATTATTATTAGAATACTACTGATATAAATTAGAGACATATTATTGAGACATATGTTACACGCCGAGTCGAGCCGTAGCAGTTTGGGTCAGGTACTATTTTGTTACAACACGGTTATTTATTTTTACAGGTTGATTTTTCATTGGCTCCGCTAAGATGGCTCGATCCGGCAAAGATATGGTGTATTTTGCAGAGAAGTACCCGAGGCTTTTCCGAGATCCAAATGACGTTGAGGAGAGGTGGTTTCGTAAGATTTTGAAAAAAGTTTTCATTGAAAACGAAAACGAGCTCAAAAGAATCGACAGAGAACTGAAGCGAACGGGAGACTTAGACAAACGGACCGGTGTGTTCAATATGGTCAGTCCGGACACGTCCAAAAAGATTTGGTCCTTCACGCGTCTCACACCGCTTGACAAAATCAGCGCGGTCATTATCGGACAAGACCCGTATAGTCCAATGTATGGCGGTAAGAGAAATGAATTTCAGTCAAACGGGTTGGCATTTTCTACAGTATGTTTGAGAAAACGTCTTCCCGACTATAATGTCTTGAAGAGAATATTCGACGCCATAAGAGAACAGATTAAAGACCCCGACCTGGACTTGTCCCGGTCGACGTTGGAGTACTGGGCGGAACAGGGTGTGCTTTTGTTCAACACTGCGCTTACTCGAGGAGCCGAATCGCACATTGAACTCTGGGAGAAAATTACTAGGAAAATTGTTTTAAGAGTTTGCAACTATGTCCGCGCCCGGGATGAACTGCACCGGTCCCTCGTCGTTATTCTGTGGGGTAAAAAGGCCTTAAATAACTTCGGCTTCGATTTGGTACATAATGTCCACATAACCCTAACGTCCCGTCATCCTTCGGTTGCGGCAGACAACTATTACGGCGACCAGCCTTTTTCCAAATCTAACCGACATTTTGCAGAAACTAACGAGGAGTTAATAGCAATGGGCAAACCACCGGTAGACTGGTCGACGGTGCCCAAGGAAGAACGTGGTGGCCAATCGGATGACGAATCGACCAGTCTTTCAACAGAAGAAGAAGAAACTATTGAAGATATTCACGAATCAGCCGAAGACGAAACCGATGCCGATCAAGATTCAGAAATGGAATGTTCTGATAATACTCGGGGAGACGATTCGCACACAGTATCCAGGAAGAACATTTCTAAGAAAATTCACTTAAAAATTAGAAAACATGTGTCGAGTGACGAATCGGACAGTCAGTACGATTCGGACGAAAACAAAACCGATGCCGATCAAGATTCAGAAAGGGAATGTTCTGGTAACACTTCTAGTGGTGACGTATCGTATTATTCCAGTGTATAGTCTTGATTATGTTTCATAATTATAATAATCGTATCCCAGCTTCATTTATAAACAGATTAGTTACTTAATTCAGTGACATTACTTTTAAATATTTGTTTTGTACGATATATATATATGGTATTCATACCAAACTATATAATATAATAATAATAATTATTATTATATAAGTATAAAGCTACACGTATAAATCAATAGAATAGCCTGTGAAAAATTAATGTATTTGTATCCGTTATGTACCTATAGTACCTTTAATGTATAATAATTTCTCAATATAAAGCTTAAAAAAACAGCACTTACAATTGCTATTATAAACAAATGCTTAATTTAGAATTATTTTATATTTATCTATTGATCAAAAGTATTATTTTGAACATTGACTGAAAACTTTATGACGTATGTCAATTGAAATAATTTATAGAATGATAATCTGACAGCTTAGAAGATTTTGAACATTATTTTTAAAACATTTTAAAGTTCAACTATGCCTTTTGGAACGATATAAACATTTAATTCCTGGAATCTTATTTTATAACAAGAGGCATATATCTTAACTTCAAAATGTTTTTTATTCTACATTTTTTTTCAAGTTCAAAATCATTTAACTTAATCCGCATTCTTTGTGGTTTTAGGTCAATAAAGTCAATTTTGACTTAATATCGTTTTCATTTATCGACTTTGAAGAGGCACTTAATGTCTTCGGTATTATTACAAGTAAATTAAAATATAAAGGTAAGTTAATTTCATATATTATAGAGATTAAAATGTCGAGTCAATGATGTTCATATAATTATTTCGGGAAATATACTTATAAGTTGTTGAGTGAGAAAAATGCAAAAGTAACTCTTATCGAAAATGTAATTATACTTTTTTAATCTGAGACAACGAAACTTCTAAAAGAAATGATGAAAACAAAAACATATTAATTAAATAATAATATTAAGAGAACATTTTTAAATATATATGAAGCATTCTGAGTCAAACCACGCGGTCATCGGCCTGACCTCATCAAATTTTTTTCAAATTTTTTTTTTAAACTTCTTTTAGTCAAATATAAGACCTTTACTTTTTTGAAATTTTTATCACTAATTTTTGACCCAAAAATAGAGGTTTTTTCAGTTATTTTTCAAAAAAAAAAAAATAGAATCGACAGGTTGTAAATTTCTAAAAATTGTATCATACAATTAGAGACTTAAATAAAATATTTTCGTCTAATAACGGGAGTGGGCCGAGATTTATTTCTATTTTTTTTTTTAATAAAGAACATTTTTCCCTGGTGGTCACCCATCCTGGATCAAGCAGCATCGGACATAGCTTAATGTTCCATTTTTCACTTTTTAGTCCCAAAATAGGCAAAAAATCAAAATTTATCAAGATATGTTTTATTTTTTAAAAAAGAAAACTGAAATAAAATTTTTTTTTCAGATTTTGAAACCTATAATCAAAACGTATTTTAATGAATAAATGAGATCCAGTAATTGGAAATTCTATGTTGATAACAACATGCTTACATACAATTTATCTATTATCTATATCATGATAAATTGCATAATCTCCACAATTCAAATGTAGAGAACAAACGACAACCATTAAATCTATAATGGATGAAATAAAACCGTACTACTAATTTTTTTTTATAGTTATATTTATATAAATGTTTGTACTTTATTTAATTGTAAATAAGTATTCATGTCTCGTTGAAGTACCGAATACATTTAGAGTAGTGGTGGAATTATAGATAATGAAATAGTATATTAACAAGCAGTGACAAGCTAGTATGTAAGGTGGCTAGTAAACAAATCAAGTTTCTGGCTAACAGTTTAGTGTTTTCACTTTTCATAATATCTGACCGAAAAAAATTCATAGGGAATATGACCTGTTAATTAGTTTTTTTTTTTTACAAACATGATAATAATAATATATGTAAAATCATATGCATAGAGCACAAAATATAGCTTGTAGGCGCGTTTAGTTTTGGGAGATAGGTAGGTAAATGATACAACGGTGGGACGGATGCGTTTCAATTTGCTATTATATATAATAATTGTTTTTGTATAACACACGTTTGTCAGGTCATATAAACGTGCTTGTGGAATTCAGATCAATGGATTACTATTGGAATCAGCGATTTTAACTATACCCGACCAACAGCCAAATACTCGAAATCAACAGCTATGTCAACGACAACCCATTTTATTTGTATAATAAATTTAAACCGTACATTTGGTGTGGTGCATTCAATATGTCATTGGGTTTATCAATTAATAATTTAAATTGTTTTTCATAGAGTTTTTATATAATGTGATATCAATTTTTATTTTGTTTTTACCTCCCTCCAAAACTGGGAATAATATTGTACTAAAAATGTTTGCTGTCTGGTCGATAACCATTTTTGGATAACTATTTTTGAAACTTTTTCAAGTTTTAAGTTTTGGGCAG